AAGGGGAAAATATAATAAAATACCTTGAACTCTTTCAGTTTTCGTAACATTTAGCTTAGGGTTGCTTAAAAATTTCATTGAAGAGCTCTTTATTAGATCGTTGGAATAACTACAATTAGTTAATAGAGCGTTCATCCCCTTGCTGGCCTAAGTAATCCTGCTTAACATACTCACCTTGCAAGCGTGCTCAAAACTCAGAGCATCGTCGAATGCTTTACAAGCAATATTTGCAAGGCCCTTTTCCAGCTCGTCCACTGTTCCGGTAAATGTCTTGTAGTCCTGTGAAAAGCCGTCATTCAGGGGATCCAGACAGTCGTAGGTGCCTTCAGAAAAGACCTGAAAGAATACAAATAGATTGTAGTAGATTGAGAAGGCAAAGCACTTAAACTTTACTGATGTCATTCAACTTAGTCTTTGCGAATTACTTTAAAAAAATTGTAATCACATCTTATCTAAATAGCTTTAAGCTAGCCACGATGCTCAAGTGGACCTGTGGGAAGAGGATTGCAGGCTAATATGGCAGACTCAGATCAAAATTCCCAGCACCAGGGGATTGCGTGGGGTGTGAAGAAATTTTAGGAAATCTGATCAAAAGTGCACACCGTACTACATTTAACCAGGCAAGTATGAAATTGTGATAATGAAGGCTTGATATGAGGATATAGGATAGATGAATAGCTCAGGACAGAAGGAGAGATACCACAATTGTTTAGCAGACAATTTGTTAAAGGATCGACTTCTCTTGTCTTTTGGACGAGTTGTAGTGTGGTGCTAAGACTGGCAAGGTTCACTGACGATGCCGGCGAAACGTCTAATAATGTACCAAGTTCAGGGTGCAACTCTGGAAAGTATCATGCATGCAATGGATTCCGGATAAGGTGCGTTACTCTATGTCCTCTTGCCAATAGGACCAAATTGGGAAAACAGTCAAACAACTTACAATCAACGAAATAAGACCGTGACCATACTTAAGACAGCACCGTCTTGGTCTTCATACCTTCGAATAATATATAATTTTACACATGAATATAAGTAGTAAGAGTATAAAGTTGATAAAAAAGTATCTGTGCTTGACTGACAGACTGAAGAATAGAGAGCGTATTGACCCACTTTCGTGCTGTCGCATTACCCTGACCTGAAAAAGCTCATTAAACCTTGGTAACCTTATAACAAGAAATTAGGTTTTCTTGTCATTATTATTTTTTTAGACTATTATTATCCACGATGGCGTGAGGATATACATACATATATATGCACGCTCACACAAACGTACATACATGTAGATATAAATGAAAGTTGGTCAACCAAATCATTAAATATCTCACAAAATTACTTTATGCATAGTATATTGACGTGTCGTGATAAGCCAGTTAGTTTGAGATTTTTATTATAATCATCTTAATCAAAGGATATCAAAGACAAAATCTCGGGACATTTTCAACTTAACCTAATGAGGATGAATCAAGTTATGCTACAATCTAAACTTCCCGTTAAAGTGAAAGACCAGCAGACTGAGAGAAATCAGCCGTAGTCTTCTAGGAAGATTTGCTAGCAAATCTCTTCATTACGCACTTTCCCAATAAATGCTAGTCAAGTACAAGATTTATTTAAGTCAACCAATCTTCCTATAAATAATTTAGACCAGAGATCATTTTCATGCCGATCTACTCTAACTGAAAATACTAAATACAGCATGCCTTGAAATTAAAAAACACAATATTTGGGCGTGTAGCATGATATAACTCATAGGCATAAACTAGCTAAATATTTAATTCAACAGTTCGGCCTAGAAATTTGGCTTTTAAGGTCAAGAGGGCCTGCGATGCCCAGTAATTCTACAATAATTTCTGATACCTAGGATACTACTCATTAAATCGTTTCATATTTGTAAAAGAAAAATGGATTATTTCCTTTGCCTAGGTAGATTTTATCAGACCCTGTATATTGTTTACATTTCGCATCTTCAACTCTAGATCTGCAAC